AAAATGCCCAGATAACTTCCATCAAGCGTTAATAAAACAAAAAGGTGCTGTGTAAAACAAGATATCTACAAACTTCTTCTAAAATTGATATTAATATCACACTCCACAATCCGTAAGTCAATTCATAACTATTGTGAAGTACAGAAGAGTGCATCCAACACAATATCTCTGCAACAAAATCTTGATCCCATTTTGTTAGACACAATTGCTACACATGCTTTTCATCACCATCACCCATCCTTTGAGTATGTGTGTGGGAGAGTTAGAGGAAGGGAGGGGGAGCCCAGATTGTATATCAAGCCATTCTATGGTTTATGAACTCAAATTTCTACAGCTCAGACAAGCAAGGATCGGTGTGGGAATTCATGGTGGTGTATGTACACACTAACCAAATTTACATGTAAGCAAAAATAACTACAATTATTTTTCTATGTTAAAGATTGAATTCTCTATTCAATTAAAATCCTAGGTTTCAATATTTGTCTGTGGTTTCAAGCATCATGCCTATTTCTCTGCTACCATAGGAGCATAAGATGTACAGCAACTTCATCCATACAAACCCCACTATCAGTGACACCAATATAAACAAATCCAAGTATCTGATTCAGATAATTCTGAAGTAAATCATATAACTAGATTTGCATGTCGGAATATACTCATAATCAAGATTCAAAGAACACACATTCCTAGAACAGTTTACCTGAAGCATGTATTTTTCTAAAGAGCAATTCAATCCAGCCTTCCCCACTGGACAATTAAGCAATTGCCATGTAATGGAATAGCAAACTTGCAAGTTAGTATTCTGAATCCCTCCAACTTCTTTTGAAAGATTAGTGGGTAAAATAGTAACAAACCATCGACCAACCTTTGGCGTATGAATGATAAGAGGGGCTTTACTTATGTCACCAGAATAATCATACAGTGTCATTGAAGGCATTGCACCCAGCCGAGCGAAATACATTAAGTTAGCAACACTAGCATTACCAGTGCTATTTGTTGGGGCAGCAGTGAAACTGACATTTGTTGCCACAATTTTTAATTGTTCTGCTATTCCCAACACCTCCAATGCATATACTTTTGGCTCACCTTCTCCATGGCAATAACTTTCAAAAGTTTTGCATGGAACCACATTTTGAATTTTCTGTGAGTTAGCACCAGAAAAAATTTCTGTCGGATTGTAGCTGTAAGCTTGAGAACATGAAAAAGGGTCAATTGTCTGGTTGCAATACTGTCCCCACATTGTTGATGTTGCACATCCTTCCACACTGATGTTGGCACTAAAGGAGTATGATGGGCTACGGATAATCTGCAATGCCGGATGACTTATAGTAAATTCAATATTTAAATAATAGCAATATTCATCGTTGTCCCAATGTGAGTCCTTCGATGAAGGGGGGGCAAATGAAAAAGGCTATAGGAAATAAACCAGTAAGACACCAAGACAGCCACAAAGACACTGTTATTAACAAAAACCAATTAAATGTGACTATAAAGAGGAGAATGAATTCTGTCTGTCCAGAATATCAACTTCAGTATTCTAGGGCTTTCTAAATCTGCTACTATAAACACTTGTATCAGAAATCTCTGAAACTTTTTGATTCTCTCTTTAATTGGAAATAAGAAACTGCGTTCATCCTGCTATTACAAATGAAAAATTAACTTCAGCCTATCAAAGTGATTTCAACATTAAGTTATTATATTTGGCCAAACTTTTCTCCTAGTGAACAGCAGCACCTATTTCACTAAAGCCAGTGCTCCTATTAGTCAACTATATTCCTTTTAGCTGGTGCAACATGCTGGCTAGCTTCCTAAGATTAAGAAGTTCACTGAAACAATAGAATTTGATCAAAATTCAAAAGAGACATCACAAGGAATGCTTGCTAATACAGCTAGTTTAAATGAAATGTACCATTTTTGATTGTGTCCTTGTAGGTCCGATGCCATTAAAAAGACCTAGATACCAAATTCCTGGAGATATCTGCATAAAGAAATTATAATATAAACTCTGCTTGCTGACATGAAGGAAACAGAGCACTTGTGAAATAATCCACACCTACCACAATTAGGAAAGGATTGCTGGCATACCTGCTCATTTGTGAGTTTCGCTGTTATATTTCTCTGCATTGGATAGCACTGCACATTCTGAGGACCTTGAATTCTTTGAAATGAGCCATTAGAGAAGGATCCTGACACCAAAACAGTGACAGCTACTTCAGTCTTTCCTTCATTTGATTCAAACAATGAGACTGAATAAAGAAAAGATTTTCACTCATCCCGACCAAAAGCAGAAATAAGGACTACAGAAAAAGGACTATCAGAGAAAAAAGAGGCAGGTTCTGGCATTTCATGTACAACAATGTTGTGAAGAATTCAGTGGGCAAGAATAAAATAGTCAGATGCTTTCGTTGGAACAACTGAACAAAGAATTTAGGAAGTAATAAAAGGTATGCAACACATTTGATTATTTTTTCTTCTTTCTTCTTTTGGAAAAAAGAGCTTCATGAGGATAAACTAAAACAATTTGATCTGTTTCTCTCTTTTACCTAGTTCTATAAGGGAACTGTTTAAGACATCTGGCAGAGGAGGACTGCCATCTCTGATGCAGATGAGTGGCAGTGTGCTCTTAGGAACCTTTGATATGCTTTTAGCATCCTGTGAAACACTTGAACCATGAGCCAATAAGAAATCAAAGACATGATATGAGCAAAATTAACAATCAACATCAGCAATTGCATCGATTTTCAAAGGCAATCTGTATAGCACAAGTCCACTATCCGTGCAAGCCAATTAAAGAATAGCAATTCAAATGAAGGCATCTAAAGTAGCCATCCGAAAAATGCACAGTTCACTTCTTTTCTTCTGTTTTCTTCTCTTGCAAAATTCAAAAAACTGATAAGATTGACAAAAAAAGCTAAGATAAAACATACTCACAAGGTCTACGTCCGACTGCACTGTTACGGAAACAGATGAGAACCACGCCGGCAAATCAACTGGAACAAGGCACAACACCAGAAAAGCTAAGATTAGAATATCTTCCAACCAACATCTTGCGAAATCCAAGAAGCTGATGAGATTGAATTGAGGTTTGAAAGAGCCATCCCACATTCAGTAAATTTTAAATCTTGATGTTGAGGTCCCTAAATTTTAACACACTGATTAAGAGAAATTACATACGGGGATATGAACATCATAGTGTTCAATAAAAACAAAAATCAAGTAGAACAAATGAGTAATTGAGCTCACTTTCATGGGCTCAGATAAATTACACTAAACAGAATCAATCTGAATCATACAATAATTCAGATCATGAATTCCATTCATGATCTCGAGATCAAATGAAAGCAATAAGCAATCAAACAAGAGCCGAACTGTAATCAAAATCAACAACTAGCAAGGACATAAAAGTAAAAACAGCAATCACTTTCAACAACTGGGACGAAATTCTTCACTTAATTCAGAACTTTTGAGACGATCAGCCAATCATATAACAGCAGACAAAACTAATCCATAAAAAAAAAAAAAAAAACAAAGACTCGGCCAATCAAATGCTTAAAAGGGTCAGTTCATATTAACTTACAGACCTCGTATGTAACGCAAATCAAACGGCCTGACATTAGTTGTTGGGTAACTAAAACTCGAAATAGTAAATGTATTGTACGGACCCAACTGATTTGCTGAATGAGAGCAGCCAAAAAGAAGAGAAAAGAACACGAAAAGACGTGACAGGATCGTAAAATAACGAGAAGGGAAGCAGAACAGAATCGAATTCTCTGCCATTTTTTAGTGCAGAAAATGATGATGATGATGATGATATGATAAGAGATGGTGTGATTTATTAAGCAGGGGATTCATGTAATAAATTAGCATTTGTTTGGCGTGTGTAGCTGATTTCTTTCTTTGGTTAATGTGATTTCGCGTCAGGTGACTACGTCTAGTTGTTGACTTGTGTTCGGCGACTTCTGTCTAGGTTTGTTTGGGGGAGAGTGAACCACACGTGCAAATGATGGAGTTTTTTGATCACGCGCCACTTGCCTGAGGGGAGGACTAAGGACAGGGAGGACGGTTTGTAAGGTAGAATCTTTGATTCCTCATGGAAACAGCATTACATCAGATGGTACCCGTTGATTCTCTCATGAGCTTTGTCACTTTTGCTGAACATTTTTTCGTAAATTTATGTTTAACCGTTTAAAATTATATTCCAAACAATATTTTATAAAAATTTTAATTAAAAAAATAAAAAATTATTTTTTAATTTTTATAAATTTTTTTGATGTATTAATATTAAAAAATATATTTTTAATATATTTTAAATAAAAAATAATTATTAACACACCTCAAAAACCTCTTAAATATATAAATTTTCATGTTTATAAAAACAATAAACATGAATAAACGTCGAAGAGGGGGGGTGGATAGAAATATTATTATATTTTTATTAGTTTCATAATTAATTTCATAATTCATCTATTTTTCTTCAAAATAAATCCATAAAAATAACTATTTTTGTTTAATTTTAAACACCATTAATTTTTTTCATACCAATGTGTTTTTTATCATCAAAATTTTTCATATTTATGTGATACAAACTTAATGAATAAATTAAAAATATTTTCAAAAATATTTTTAATTATATTTTTAAATAATTTTTTAAGTATGTGAATTTTTTTGTTTATAAAAACAACTATAAGGAAAAGTAAAAAAGCAGAAGAGAGTTCAGTATGGATAGAAATATTGTTATACTTTTTTAATAACTCTCATATTTAATTTCATAATCTATCTATTTTTAAAAAAATCCAAAAAAAAAGCTATTTTTATTTATTTTAGAAAAGACAAAGAAAAGGAAGAATGTTTGTCCTCCTCCTGTCCCGCAACCATCCGATTGATCAAAAGATCTCTTCCATGTCAACACGTGTCATTATCAAGCGGCCATCTTAAAACTGTAGGGACGAAGACATAGGACCCACCGAATTTTAGCCTTCGAAACTCTCGCCGTCCTTTTGTTCTATTCTGTGTCCAAACAAAAACAACTTTAAAACCAACAAAAAAACCGCTCAAACGAAACTGGTCAGACACAGAACACGTAAAAAGATCACAACTTTCAGTTTTAATCCAACCGGAAAAATGACTGTCATCGATTTGGTTACGCGAGTAGATTCAATCTGCAAGAAATTTGACAAATACGACGTCGATAAGCAGAAAAACCTTAACGCTGCTGGCGACGATGCTTTCGCTCGCTTATACGCAATCGTTGAGGCCGGCCTCGATGCTGTTCTCCAGGTAAATATCACCTCGATTTCCCCTTTTTTGATTTTTATTCCCTGTTTGTTTTCTATGAATTGAAAAGGGAAATAAAGGGTGTTTCTTTTTTTTTGGTAGAAATCAGAGGCAGCGAAAATAGAGAAAAGCAGGGCTACGGCTGTTGCTATGAATGCAGAGATTCGAAGAACAAAGGCTCGATTGCTTGAGGAAATCCCTAAATTACAGAGACTCGCTTTTAAGCAGGTTGTTTTTGGAAATTTATTATATCTGATTAGCTATTTGAAAAACGTGTTTTTGTTGTTAGAAACAATGGAGATTAATGGGATAATAATAATCTTGGGTGCAGGTGAAAGGGCTATCGAAAGAAGAGCGCGAGGTGAGAAGTGATTTGGTTGCTGCATTAAAAGATAGAATCGAAGCTGTAGCAGATGGAAATATTAGTGCAGCTAAACAAGGTGGAGATTCTGCGCCTTCAGCATCGCATGGAGGAATTAAATTTGATTCAACTTATGGTAAAAAAATGAATTTTTTTCTAGTTGATTATTGGTTTTTTGATTGTTTATTCTTGTTTCGTGGATGGGATGATTGTAGTTGAAATTTCGATGATTTTTCTTCTTTTTTTTTTCGAATTTGGATCAGATGGAAGATTTGATGATGAGTATTTTCAGCAAACTGAAGAGTCGGATCGGTTCAGGCAGGAATATGAAATGCGGAGAGTGAAACAGGCAAGTGTTTTGTGCTTTTTCTTGTTTTTACTTGCATCGTGATCGGAAAAGGTCATGATTTCAAGTGCAGTAAGGTTAATGGAGCAAACTTGAATGAAGTTATTGATGATCTTTTCTGGGATTTGATTTGACTTCTTGCAGGATCAAGGTTTAGATGTTATAGCAGAAGGTTTGGACACTCTGAAAAACATGGCCCATGACATGAATGAGGTTTGGTTATGTCCTATTTTCAATGAACTTCCGATGAGTGGTAAATAGTTTGAATATTGTTTATCACTGAATTACGAATCCTGTGTGCAGGAGGTGGATAGACAAGTGCCATTGATGGATGAAATTGATGACAAGGTATTTTTCCACTTTCCTGGTGTTATAGTCCTTTGAACTGTACATTTTACAGGAGGTATTTAACAGCTATAGCATAGTGGCAAGTGGGCTTTCCCCTTGGGCAATAATAGTATTCACCTGCTTTTGATATATTAAACGAAAATCACAGTTCCTATTCGTGATTTGGTTACTGGGAAGTGACATTTTTCTTAGAAGTAATGATCATTATGTTGAACATAAAACGATCATCTAATACTTTAGATAATGGTAGAAGCTGTGCATATTATTCATTGCAAAATGGTAGTTATTTGTTTTGATGTTTTAACTTGAGGTTACATCAAATTTCAGCAGTAATCCTCTGACATTCTTGCAGGTTGACCGAGCAGCCTCTGACCTTAAAACTACTAATGTGAGACTTAAGGATACTATAAACAAGGTATGCATCATTAATTTGATAGTCCGAAACTGAAAACTATTGCTGTCCCCTGTTTCAAGTCTACTATTCATCTTTCCTATGTTTGCATTTTGATATTAAAACAGATGAGGTCCAGTCGCAACTTTTGTATTGATATCATCCTCTTGGTTATAATCTTAGGCATTGCTGCCTATCTCTACAAGTAAGTTCTTTTTGGACGGGATGTACATGGGACTTCCTTATATTGCTTGCCATTTTGTTTTGGAATATCAAATAATAATTTGCTTAAAGAAGACCAACCATGCTACATTATTGTTTCAACATGCTTTAGCTTAAGTCAGAATTAGCTCAATTACAAGCTATTCAATGAATCAATCAGGTGCTACTTAACAAATCATGAGTGTTCGAAGTTCAACCTGTTTCTTGTTGACTTCATGTTGGACAAGTCCTGATCTTCCTATGAACTTGAACGATATTTGACATCTTCGTAATTGTTTATGCTTGGCAACTATATATATATATTTTTTATGTTGCCATCATTTGCTTCCATACTGCTGTTTATCCAGTGATATAGTTTCTTCCGGATTGATGTTTGTCTGGAGGCATTGTCGTCACTTGCTTTCCCCTGCATATCAATGATGTGGAGAGCATCTGGTTTCCTAGAAGTGAAACTGTTAGATTTGGATTTATACAATTTGAAGGCAAAATTTTCTTTCCATCAAGTGTGCTTACCTACAACCCTTCCCCCACAACATAAGACGGAAAAAGAGGGAGAATTAATGAAAAACCCATCCCAGTATCATAACTTGTAATGTCCTAGAATCCAAGATATGTAACTATAAAAAGGTTGTGTTTGGGATAGTGGTTAATTAATATATTCAAGTCCTTGGATTTCTTCTTTTTAATCTAAAGGACTCTAGGCTAATAATAAAAGCTTGAATATTTGAAAAAACAGTTCTAATCGAGGGAACTTAAAGACTTTCCGATTATAAAGTCAATATATTTATAAAAAAGGTATAAAATGACTTAAGGTAATAAATGATTTAAAAGAGCTTTAAATTCAAGAAACGATGTTTGTTTTTGAGTTTTAAACCGGTCAATGCTTTGAAATATATGTATTTTTATCTTAAAAGATGAAAATTTATGAGTCTTTTACTTAGATAGTTCAGGGAGTATTAATACCCCCTGAACTTTGTCATTTCTAGAGAAAGGAAATGGTGAAATAACAGAAGCCATTAAATGGGGAAAGCAAATTTTTCCATAAGATGATTCCATGAATATGTTGTCAAAAGATTGTTTAAAGGTTTTGTCTTGTCTACACGTTACGAGCTTCAAAGCACTGGTATGTTTGGCCTTTCTGCTTTGTTTGCCATGCATTTCGTGTCCGGAACTGTCTGGGCTAAGCTAGGAGCTGCTTGAACCATCTTCCTCTGATCAGTGAAAGAAAACGCAGACTACTTAACCTCGGATTGCTGATGAAGCTTCTGACGATTTTATTACATATTTTGAGATCATTGCTTCTCTCTTGCAGTGTGCTGAAGTGAAATGAGCATTCCAGCAACCACTTCCACAACTACTAATCTACTGGCATATACAGCTTTCTGCTGCTACTGGGTCGTCTTTGCATGCATCATTGTACTACATAATGTTTACTGGAAGAGTGTTTACATCTGTAGCTATTAATTTCTTCATAAACTGTAATTTCCAGCAACTTGAGACTGAAACATTGAGACATTTTAGCATAATTTCCACTTTATCAGGGTTTCATCGAGTCTCTTTGCAGTTGGCGTTTTCAATTCTATGCTGCTAATGAAGTATTTTGAGAACGTTAGTTAGTTTGCGCCATGCATCGCTAGATGCTAATGAAGCATTTTAGGATGATCTTGCATCCTCCTATCCACTTCTACTTAAATATATGGATTTTTAGACCCCTGTTTGGGAAGGGTAGAGTGTTTGTTTTTGTATTCTTATCAATTTTTTAAAATATTTTTTTATAAATTGATATTTTTTAATTACATTTTTTTGAAGATTCTGACATACTAAAATTAAAATCTGAAGAAAAAAAATCATTATCCAAGCTATTTGCTTGGATTACTTTCAGGTTGGGTATAAAACATACAAAGCTATAAATTTAGTTGTGATATCAAGTGAATAAATAAAAAACAAAAAGAAGTTAGATTTTTTTTTTTTTTACCATAGCAGTAAGTACTGTCGAATATGTTTTATAGGAAAATAAGCAGTAAAATTTATAGCTTTCTAGCTCAGCTGTTGCCATTCAATGGAAAAGGAAAAAAAAGAAGCCGTGGAAACAACCATGAAAGCATAATTTAACACAGCTACCTTAACATTTATGCAATGAAGAGCTGCGTTTTTTATTTTAAGATATATTAAAATAATTTTTAAAATTTTTAATATCAAAACAAACAAAAAATATTAAAAAATAATTTTAAATAAAAATAATAAATTTTGAGCAGTTTCTTTTTAAACCGCACTCCCAAAGGGGGCCATCGGCAGCTTCATTCAACCCTGATTCAAATAATTAAATATGGTACATTTATTTGATTGCCAAATAATCAACAGTGAAATAAAGATGAGCCATCTGATTGCAGCCTTTTCTGACATGAGCCATCCACTTCTGTCCCCACGCTCGCATGAGGAGCGTGCTCTTCTTTTCATTTCTGGGAGTTTATTCAAAGAATCCGAACCAAAAGGGCGAGGGTACGTGCCCTTGTGTCCCCCCAAATTGAAATTAAGTAATTCACGAAATTTGGCCTGTAAATTCCTTTGTCTTCCCACCTCCCAACATCCCAGACACTCGTGTGTGTACTCAGTTTCTTGGCTCGCGTATATATTTTAAAAATATTTAAAAAAAAAATAAAAAAAAATTATTTTTTTTAAATTAAAAAATTTAATATTTTAAAATTACTTATATATATATTGATATTAAAAATAATTTTTTAAATATAAAAAAATATTATTTTAATATATTTTTAAATAAAAAATATTTTTAAAAAATAATTCCAATCATTCTTTCAGAAACTCACGCTATTACACAATTTCACCACACATGTACTAGTTTGATCTATCATTTCCATTCGAAAATTTTACTTTTTTAGTGGTTTCTATTTTTTTTTATCAAATGGATGAATAATAACCTTTTAGAAAATTACTTAAAACTTGGGTTTGTTTTATTATTTATATAAATACTAAGACATTTTAATATTTTTCAAAATAATTTTATAATAAATACATGTAATATCTCAGTCAATTAAGGTTCATGACAGGACAAAAATCATGAGTTGGAATACTAGTTTTTACACCGGAAAAAATTTATCAAATTTGATATACCTCTTAAATACTATTATAAATTTTTATTTTATTTTTTCAATTATTATATATATAATCTAAAAATAATAATATCAACAATAAATTATTCACGAGAATTCCATTAAAATCAATTTTTTATTGTTGAAATTTTTAAATAAGTTTTTCACATGATTTTATAATTTTTTCAGCTTTCAATCACGTAAAATATTGACATATTATTTTAATATTCTTATTAAATTTCTATCATAAAATATTAAAAAATAATAAATTCAATGATTCCAATTAAAATTATTGTATTGTCAAGATACGCTAATAGAAAGATTTATTTTTAATAGAAAAATCAAAATATATTTTGAGATTTAATGACAATGCCAGATATATAGTTTTCTAAGACCTGAGAATTTTTTTTTTTTACTTTTAAAAAAAATTAAGTTCCGCTAAAACATAGCTAACTCTAACATACAAACTAGTTATTGCCCTAGCTGACCTCGTTAGGTATTTTCTATTATCCTGCTAAATTAGGAAGTCTTGAAATTAATGCATAATAAATATTAGAAATTCGACCACGTGATTAGTTTAATCAAACCAAGTCACCGATACTACAGTGAAGTGAAGTCAGCATAGCCTAGCATGCATTATAATATAAAGTATAAACCGGTACGTACAGGATGCATTTTATACTATATGATGGTCTGCACCATTAACTTTCACTTTTCGTATTATTCTGTCGCATTCAAGAATTAAATAGGATGATTCTTGTTGTAAATGATGGGATTTTTGTGACAAATTTCGGATAACTCAGATGGGCATATGCTATGGGTAGCTGAACGTGAAGTGAGAAGTAAACAATAAAAATAAAAATAAAAATAAAAAAATTGCGTCGTTTTGCTTGTCATGAAAGATGAGACTTTTATACATGGTCGGTCCAGGCCCATCGTTGGATTTATTTTTTTTTAGAGATATATTTTTTGTAATTAATTTTTCCACGCTAATTCTAGTTTGTATCAAAAACCGTTATCCCACTTGATCCAGAGTCTAGACCCACTCCAACCAGGACGGGTCTCGCACGTAAAAAATCAACTTTCAAATCCCAGCCATTTTTCCCAATGGAAAACCAACTTTTCATGTCATCGGTGGCTAGCAGTATCCGGCAAGTAAGGTTAAATATTATGTGATAGTAAAAAAAATTAGTCAATAGTGATAGCATTTTTTTAAAAAAAATAGAATAGTCATCGATTTAAAAGATTTAATAATATAATTATATATAAAAAAATTACAATGACTTGTAAAAAAAATAAATGTTTATTAATAACTCAACTTGGGTTTAGGTGAAAACGTTTTCATGCCCAACTTGGGGTTGCACGTGGACAAGTTTAGACTTTTAATTATAATAAAAATAAAAATAATTATAACATAAATAATATTATTTTTAATATTAATACTTTTAATTATAATAAAAATAAAAATAATTATAACACAAATAATACTCTTTGTAATATTAATACTCTTAATCATCAGAAAAATAAAAATACTATTTTTAATAATAATACTTATAATCATAATAAAAATAAAAATAATTATAACACAAATAATTTTTTTCAATTTTATTAATTACTTTATTCATAATAATAATAATAATAACAATATTTTTAATTTTCACACTATTAATTATAATAAAAATAATAATATTTATAACATAAATAATTGTATTAAGAATTTCAAGGATGATTGCAACACAAATAATAATATTTTTTATATCAATACTTTGAGTTATAATAAAAATAATAATATTTATAACATATATAATATTATTTTTTATCTTAACACTTTGATTTATAAAAGAAAAAATAGTACTTATAAAACACATTATTATATTAACACATGTTGTTAGGCGCGGATGCATCCAAACCCAAGATGCGAGTAGGCGCATATACGTGGGGGTAAGCGTGGACGCGTCCAGCTTTAACCCCAAGTTGGGCATGGATGCCTCCTTTTCCACCTTCGCATCCATACCTAGCTCGAGTTTGGGCGAGCAGGCATCTAGACCCAACTTAGGTCTAGGCATGAATGCGTTCAGCTCCAACTTAGGTGCAGGCATGAATGTGTGCAAACCAAACTTGGATGTGGGCATGGTTGGATACCCCAAATTAGGCGTAGACGTGTTCAACCTCACCTTAGGGTTGGGCATGAATGCTTCCAAACCCAACTTGGGTGTGGGCGTGGCTGGGGCGAACTCCACTTAGGGTTGGGCGTGGTTGTGTCCAACATCACTTAGGGATGGGCATGGACGCCTCCAAATCCAACTTCAGGTCTATCAAAAACAATTGACTTTTTGCCAAGACTCAAGCGCCAAATGTCACTCGAGTTTGGCCAGAGTAAGGGTAGGGCTACCCATGCGCCATGTGGCACTCGGGTTTACCTAATTGCCACGCGTTTGGGTTAACATAGCTAATCATGCAATCAAAACGCCAGTTGTCCTTGCATGGCCAGTGTCAAGTGCTCGCTCCCCATAGTTTGCAACCCCATCAAAACTTGTGCTAACCATTTCTTCACAACCATCCATTCAATGTCAAATGCACCTCAACAAAAAGACAACCTCATCTCTTGCTTATTGTCCTTGCAACTCTTTATATTAAGGGTTGGGCTGTCATTACACTACTCCAATTCACAATACTTTATGTCTATATAAACAGCAATAGGGACACTGAGTGTACATATACATATATACATACATACATACATAGAGAGAAAGAGAGATAGAGAGGGGCAAGGGAAGTCAAGCCTAACCGTTTAGATTTGCCTAGATGGCTAGGCTTATACGATTGTTTTCTTAAAAAAAACTCAAACGAACAGCTTCTTTTAAAAAATAGATGGATAGAACATTGTTCATTGCAAAAGAATATGGATATGAACCTTAAAGGGTGTAGCTCAACTTATCAAACTTTATGTTTGCTTTCTAGAGGTCACTGGTTCAAGTTCCACAAACCTCAAGGCCACTAGAGGTTTACGTGGTCATTAACTTCAGGTTCCGTGGGATTAGTCGAGGTATACATAAGCTAATTTGGACACCCACATTAATTAAAACAAATATATCTTAAAACTTAAATATTAATTATTTTTATCTAAGAATACCTAAAAACATTATAAAAAAAACCCAGAGTTTCAAAACACCCCATAATTAATTTAAAAACTTACAATCAGACCAAATAACAAGAAGTTTTTTGGGTTTAGATCTACTTTTTATGGTATAATTAAAGGCTCAAACTACTCAATTAAATTTTTTTCACAAAATAAATTAGTAACATCAAAATTAATATTTTTTCTTTATTAACCAGAATTTTTCTCTCATCTTTTTTTTTTCCCTTGAAATCCAATGATTGAACGGACAAGAAAAAATGAAGTTTTAAGACTGAAATACCAAAGCAAACTACATGGACCAGACATAAAAATTAAAAACTTCATGGACCAAACCGTGCATTTCCGCACCTCATGAATAGTTAAAAATGCACCGTGTATCAATCTGCGCGTCAATTGAAACAGTAAAGTCTCCCTGAGTTTTAATCTATTTTGTAATATTAATTAAATTTGAATAAAAAAATATATTGTTTATTTTTCAGAAGATTAGCGATATCCTCTAACCAACTTTCATACATCAAGACTAATTTTCATATAAAGCAACTATCCACGTCAATCACCACACGAAGTTAAAATCTTGGTGGTCAAAGAGACCATTTGTACAATCAAGACAATTCCTCATATTAACTAATACTTCCTTTGTTTTAATATGTTAATCAAGATTTGCCTAAGCTAATTTTTTAAAGGGTAGTAGAGATTTTTTTAAAGATATTTTTTATTTAAAAATACATTAAAACAATATATATATAAAAAAAATTAATTTTAAACTAAATAAGTTAAAAGCTAGACCGAACTTATTGCATTTTTGTTAAAATAATTAAAACATCTTTATGAATGAAGTTAACTCACGAAAGTGGCTAACATACTCATAAAAGATGATCGAGGAGAAGGGGATTGCATTGGTTCCTCGATTGTTGAAAAAGTATTTCATCATGGACTTAACTTATCCAACTAAATTAATGTCTTAAGCTCGCAATATAATGTTAATTTAATTGCTTCCAAAGCAATATTACTGGCAAGGCATCGTACCTTTTATCTCATGTTTCCGTAACGGGGTTTTCTTTTCTTTTCTGCAATGAAAATTCAATTGCTTCCGTCATGATAAAAATAAAAGCGAAAATTACAAAATGTAATAATCCCTTTCATGTTATTTTATTTGCAAAACAATCATATAACGCGCCACGTCACTCCATATCGAAAAAAATCTGCGCACCTACATTCCCTAAGTCGCTGTTGAAAAATATCAAACAAAGACTCGAGGTTACCAAACTACCCTTTCATTTTCAAACCATTGACTTACACAATCTTTAGGTACACTCGTCTCACACCCTACAACTTCTCCTACTGGCATGTTACAGAGAAAAGATTAACCTCACGCATGATAATACACAACAACATGTGCAACGAAATTATCACAAAAACTCCTCTACCCAAAAAAACCCGATAGTTTCAATACAACAAAATAAAAATAAAAATAAAACAGCAGCCGCAGCATCTTCGCCTCTCTTGCCCCTCCTCCAAACCCTTCACATAAGAGACTTCAGAGACCTCGCTTTCACGGGTTTCCGCATCCGTTTCTTGCCACTGTCTTCCTCTTCGTCGTCGTCGTCCTCGTCAACATAATCAAACCCTTGATTATTTTCAATCGGTGAATAACTTGAAGACGGTGTCGTATTTGGAATCATGGAACCGATAACAGTACTATTATCGACATCCTTGGCTTCATTCTTGTTGACAGTATCCTTATCTCCTCTTCTCTTTCCCCACAACGGCCCAAACCCAGAATAATAGTAAAATTCATACGGATTTGAGCTCGATGATGACCCTTTTTTGACTGACTTTGCCCGACCACGGCGTGCCCCAATAATAGAAGCAACCTTATCGGGTTTTTTTGTAGCAGCACTACCATTAATGTTGTTGTTGATGTTGCTATATGATGATTTGTGAGATGTCAAATGATGATGATGGTCGCACACAGTGCGCCCATTTTTAGTGTCGTTCTTGCAATGCCAGCCTTTTCCATCGGTCTTGTTGCATTTCTTGAGCTTGAATTCGCTATCTATTTTCATTTCTTCATAATCACCGAACATTTCTGATCTCTTGTTACCTTCATTTTCATAATTATCGTCAACAATAACCATATGGTCGACCTTCATTTTCATCATTCCTTTCTCTTCTGAATCTTCCATCATCATCGACGCGACACTGCGCATAATTATATAATCCAACAATATTTAACAGCCGCAAACACAAACTTACCATTCCATTAAGAATTTCCAACAATTACTTCCGAAATATCGAGCTATTCCAAAAACCCTAATGCTAAACAATACGATATATCAAAATTGGTAGTAGCGATTAAATTACCTCTCAACAGCACCAACAGAATCACCTAAGCTGCCATTTCCATTAAAGCTATCCTCTCCTTCGAACTGATAGATAGAAGAACCAAAGAGTAATCAATGAGGGAGACCCATTAACCTAATAATCTATCAGGAGAAGAATACACGATAAAACCAAGAAAATTTAGGGTTTTAAAGCAACCCTAATGTTTGATATCTGAAAAACCCTAAGAAGAAGAGGAGGAAATGCAGGCAAAGAGAGGATAAATAGAGGAAGGGTTTTGGTAGATCTGTCAAAAAAAGAAGAAAGTGAAGGAAATGAAGAGAGACATTTCATAACAAAAAAACTTACCTGGTAGAGTGAAGAAGATGGGTAATAAGTTTCTTGAGAGAAAGAAATCACATCCCATGGTGACTGGTTTAGCTGGCAAACGTGTGTCTGCAGTGGCTGAGCTCCTGAAGAACCCTGCGAGAACATGAGAGATGAGAGCTTTGCGTTCTTTCGAATCCTCATGTTTGAAGAAGAAAATAATAATTACGGGTTTATATAGTTACAAGATGAAGGTGGTTGTATCTGTATATTAGATCCAACGGATAGAGGGAGGGCAAGGTTTTTTGGGATTCAAAGGGAAAAAAGGAAGGGAAGGAAGGAGAGGAAGAGGGGGCTGGCTCTCTTTGCTATTGTTTTTGCTCGCTGCAGATCTCACAGAACTCGATATTGAGGGTTTTCTTATTAACTTTCTGTTGCTTTCTCGGCCCTTCATATGTTTCGATTTTTATTAATATTCTTCATTTGGACAGTTTTGTCCTCACGTTGTTTTATTATTTACACTGGAGATTTGAGCAAACGGAAAAAAGCCTGCCGCTATTACACGTCATGATACATGTCCAAAGCATCTATAGATGGGCGATTATCGTATGAGGTTAGTCCTTGCTAAGGTAAGGTGTATCTGTCTTCCTCTCAGTTGCCATCCACTCATTTCTTGAAAGTCCTTCCCATTTTTTTGACTCGTGTTAGAAATTAAAAGCCAGCGTGCTGTCTAATTGTCAAAATAGACTTTATACTTTCATCACTTGAGTACTTTAGTTTAAGATTTCTACATACAAACAGTAATTTAGTTATTTTCTTGGAATAAAAAATATATTTTTTAAAAAATTAAAAATATATAAAGACAGAGAAAATAGAAGTGACATGTCCTTTTATATTTTTTTTTGCAAAGTATAAAATCCATTTTAAAATCATGACAAAAACATATTTATTATATGTTTATTTTTATATTTTAAATTAAATATATTTTTATCTGTTTTGTATTTATTTTCTTATCTAGTATAACAATATTTTAAAGTATTTTTTTTCATCGTTATTATGATATATAAAAATTGAACTATTTTACCATGAGAAACAAAAAAATTAGAAGATAAAAATAAGTTTATTTGATTTTTTTAATCTAAATCCCAGTATTTAAAAGCCTGTTAAATCTTAACTGATCTGATTAAACCGAGTTGGTAGAGGTAAAATTTAACCAGCAATAATATACTCTATATATACGAATAGAATTTAAGATTTTTTTTTTAAAAAAAATACCGAACCACCTAAACCACCTTTTTTAATTCATTCGACTAATTACTGCTCTTGGACACGCAAAAGCAAGAAAACATAAAATCAAAGAAGATGTAAAACGTGTGAGCAAACTGCAGTTTACAACTGTAGCGGCGTTCCATAATTGATAATGTGTACTGCAGTAACAATACAGAGTTGCATTATTAACAGTTAATCTCTCCTCATTTATGCAATGACCTTCTCGGTTTGATAAAACTCCGTAGGAGCTTGCCCACGTGATCATTACCCCAAGCGTATCAGGATGAAGGGGTATTTTGGGTAACATGAAGCTTTTCAAAATTGATTAAAAATACGTGAAACCTAACGCCTTTTTTCCCTAGAACAAAGGGAAGATAGACGGTGCGTGGGCTTCACGCTCAAAACCCACTCGCGGTTGGAGAAGGTGGCAAGCACGTTTGGTCCACATAAACATGGATTTGATGAGTGTACTTAGTGGGTCCCTGTTGTCTCAGAAGATTGACGGCTCTGATGCATTGAGAGACGATGGAGACTACCAAGGCTTGATAACTCACAATCCGATACCAGAGATTAGTGTCTTACGTGTCAACTGGAGGTAGGCTTTCAGAAAAAGCATGCTAGTAGAATACTTTTGCGAGGTGAAAGCATATTACTTCCATTCCAGAATGCCTTATCAAGGGGAATGCCCCTCATTACCCCTTCCTCCTCCTCCCTCCCTCCCTCCCTCCCTCTCTCTCTCTCTCGCTCTCTCTCTCTCTCTCTCTCTATATATATATATATATATATATATATTAGCATTTAAGTGAGCAGATGAAAAAAACACGAGGAAGGACGAGAGAGTTTTGTTGTTTGCCTTAATCAGTCCTCTCAAAAAAAAAAAGCTTGTTATCATAGGCAATGTTCTTCTGTGGCCTTGAGGAAATTGAAACTGTATATTGTTTCCTTTATGGATCCATCTCGAGGCATCGGTCAAACATCGACTCATGACCGAAGGTGCATGCGGCCATGGCACAGAATGGATAGCTAGCAGATGATCGATTAAATACAGAGAAACGTAAATGCCTAAAACAAGAAATATGGATATGTGTGTTTTTTTTTTTTTTACCTCTAAAAGCAATTAGAACAAATAACCGTGAGTTGTTATGGAAAAGGCATTTTAAAGCAATTAAAAACAGAGGGCATTCTAACGAAATACGTTTCTTTTTATCCACAGGAAGAGCCATGCGCAGGGTCCCAGTCTGTGCAAAACAAAACTTGGATGCTAGACCATTTTGAGCTGACTGTGAGCGTAAGGATTGTGCCCTAGAGAAAACCAACGTTGCTTTTTTTAATGATCACTGGAAGAGCTATGGCTAGAAAACGCAACACGCAGCAGCCATGGATAGACCAGTGAAGATGTTGAAAACGAAGGACCCATGGAAAAGAAAGAAGAGAAACCTGAGGGGGGCGGGGAGGCATGTTGAGCTGCAATTCATGCATCCCTGAGGCCTGAATTAGAGATTATAAAATACAATCTTTCCAAGTTAAAATAAGAAAGATGCGGGCACCACTAAAACACAAAAATGGCATGGGCCATGGCTTGCTTGCTGATCATAAAGGGTTGCTGATTTTGATCTTTTGTTAAAAGTAATGTACTCATTGGAAGCTCCACGATGTAAAAAAAAAACAGCTAATGTGTCAAATATCAGGACTGCTACTGGGCTTGTCCCAATGTCATTTGTTTTGTATCCAATCTCCTATCAGAATTTGAAGAAAAGTATTGTGCCAAGAACCTAAGACACAGTGTCGAAATTTAAGGTTGCATAATAGTTTTACATTATTTTATAATAAACTTTCTTGAATAAATTTTTTTGATATTAAAACTTTAATTGTTTTTAAGTAAAAATTTGTTTGAAACTTATACGGGTATGTATTTATTAAGATTTTAATATCATTTTAAAAAATTAAACTGTTAATTAAGATTTGAAGAATAATTTTATATTAATCTTTAATATAAATATTCGAACCATCTTTACCTTTGTTTCTATTTCAAGATGAAGATGTGCTTATCCATGGCTAATAAGAAAAAAAGATGGAAGAAAAAAAAAAAAAAAGATGGAAGATGCGATTCCAAGATCACAAAGGCAGCAGAACAATCATTATATTGGAATTGGTAAAAAGTTTTTTTTCTAAATTTGGTTTATAAAAGAGTGTGATTAATAGATTAAAAAACATCAAATTAATATTTCAAGCGTATACATTAAGGCAACGAACACATGAACAGTACCACATTCCATAAATATTCCTTTACCTCATGCTTGACTGTTCATGGATTTATTAATTAATCTTTCTTTACCTGAGAATCTTACCCCACTCCTGATCACAAATATTTTGTTGGTGGCTCATCGATAAAAATATAGCGGAAAGGTTCTGAGAAAAAGCCCTTTTCTTCTCGTATATATCCTTGCTTTTTGCTTTTTCTTTGTTTTTTCTTGATTAATTATTGAAGACATGATATGACGGCTTAATCTCTCCTCGCATATAAAGAAAAAACGCATTAAAAGCTAGAGCTTCTGCTCAAAGCATTTTACTGTTCATACAGAATCACTCTGACTGTCAACATATATATATATATATATAGATCAGAATAATTGAATCGCTTCTAGCTGATATCTGGGGATTTTATGAAAACTCTGGAATAATAGAGCGCTAATTCTTTCTTTTCTTTTCTTTTTCCAGGGAAATTCAATAAGAGGAGTTCCGCGGCAATGATATCTATATCACAACATTCTTTTGTTGGTCATCCTGTTATCGATGCAAGACTTCAATCACAACAGACATTTCTTTCTACTATAAAATTACAGAAGAACGATATTGTTTTTCCTTGATTCTGTATATAGAGCTCTACTCTATTTATTCTGTCAAGTGTTATCTGATCCAAAATATTAGTCATTGCTGCTCTTCATGACATCCCGATCGAAACAAGAGCGCAGAGAATTAACAAACCGGCCCCTTCCAAAATCCAGTAGAAAGAAGGAGAGAGACCAGGTCGACTTGCAGAGAAATGGCCAGAGAAGAATGGAATACCTCTGGGGTTTTAACAACAAGATCTCTTTCTCGTAAAGTCCTCTGTTATAGCTAGCTGTGAATGGGGCAGACCTTATACAGAGAGGAAAGGAAGCTTAATATTATCTTCAAGCTGAGCTTGAATGCTGCAGTCCATTCGCATCCTTGAGAAAATAAAGTTCTGCTATGCTGTATTTGTAATATGCTTCATATAAATTCTTGCAAAAAGTAACTTAGACAATTTTAGCTTAGTGTATGCTTCATATACATATTTCATGCTCTTCAGATCTCTTCTCTTGCTAATGACGGAAACTATCTAGCTTCTGCTATGAATTTAAGAGACAATGCTAGCTCTTGATATATAGCTCTAGTCTGAAGCAGGAGGGAAAGGATTACAGATCACTTAATTTAAATCAGATGCCTTGTGGCATTCCACACTCACTATAATCTGTATATCAAAAAACAAACCCTAACTTTTTTTTTTTGAAGGTAGTAGAATATTTCGGGTTCCTGATATATGTTTTCAGATTTGGTGGGCACAACCCAGATAAATAGATCTTTTATTTCGATTTTGACAGCCGCCAGTGACATATCTATAACATGAATATAGCCGCTAACCAGTTAACCAATGCCTACATTGGTGAAAGAAGTAAGATCACAGGAAGTTTGTTTAGGGTTCATCAGTAGCATGAGAAAGTCAACCAGGAATACGGATAGCCCTAGAACTTAAAAGCCAGACGTGTAGAAGAATATAATATAAATATATAATATGTTTGAAAAGGAGCCAAGAAAAATTATGGAGCTTTATGGAACCAGCTAGGCAAGGGAAACCAGGAAAATAAATTAAAAAAGAAAAAGAAACAGAGTCAGAGCCCTGGACAAATAATTAAGCATTAAAGGGGCAGATTTGCTGGTGATGGGATTTCGTGTACGTTTGGCATTTTTTTAATAATGGCATTCTAGAGTGAAAGATGTTATTTAAAATATCTCTTTTTATTTTTTTATATTTATACATTTTTTTATATTTGTATATCAAAATTATTAAAAAAATATTAGTTTAATATTTTTTTAAAATTAAAAAAAATTAGTGAAATAACACATTTGAAATTAAAAA